CTCATTGTCGTAAATGTGGAGGGAAAATGTCTGCTTATTTCTGTGCCATCTGCAAGCATTTTACTAGTATTGACAAGAATCCGTACCACTGCGATAAATGTGGAATTTGCCGGTAGGTTAAACATTACTTTTTTTGTTTCCAAAATTATGATAACTAGAATAGCTGACACTACAGCTGCCCCCGCTCTGTATATCGTCGGTCAATAGTTTTCTTGCTTGTTGTGTAGCTCTTTGAAATATACCGATTCATAATGCAGATTTTCACACATATTCCATACAACAGGTGAGATAAATACAGGAAACGCAAGGTTCCATGCACATTTTCAGTTTGATTTACACAGCTTTGATCAAAACCTTCTCAGTTTCGAGAATAGTTTATTCTAAACCACGAGAAAAGATTTAATTAGAAGTTGAATTTTTCGCTATTTCTCTTTCACTTTTTACATTCAGTTCATTTTATTTGCCGGAAAGTAAGCCTTATAAATTAAAAAGACGTTTGATCAATTCTGCGCAATAAATGTCACAAAATCTACCCAAGCGGTCCCTTCGGGATTTTCTGTCTTTACGTCATCCTAACCATTTCGTACTTGCAGGCGCAAAAAATAGAAACGGCATCATTACCTACCTATTCCTCGCGGCCCCTGTTTAGGCAAATCGAGATTTTTTCTGGCATACTGACTGTATATTTCAACTGTGAGTACTTTCCTTAACATACGCGCGAGTTACTAGGGTGCCTCCTCGGGATTTCGCCTTCTGGGCGAAATCCCTGTTGGGGCAATTAGTAATTGAGAAAGAATTTTCACACCTCCAAAGTATTGAAATCTTTATGACGGTTATATACCCTCAGGAGACACCGTTATGACATTCCACCCCCCTTAAATGGATTTCAACCCTAGAGGGACAAATGGGTGTATCAATTGAGTTCGAATTCATCTATGGTTCCCTAGCCAACGTCAATATCACTGCGAGACGATTGATTGAATTAATTGAGTACCTGATATCTTCTACCTACTGTACTAGATTTGGCCGTGTTTACATTAGAGACTTTAAAATCCGTCAAAATGGACGTACGTCAGACGGATCGTTCCTCGGAAACGAAAATCGTTATTATAAATGCAGCAAGTACGCGGAGAACTCAGTCACTTAAAACGGGGTAGAATTACAAAGAATCCAAGTCTTGTTTTTCCAGGACACGAAAATTTTCCCACGCCTCACTATATAATATAATTTACGATGTTTTGGGTCCTTTCAGGTTTTTACCAGCATTTTTCTCAAATAAATTCGAAAAATATATGTTGCGATCCTCCTGAATGAAAAATGATAAGAAATCAAGCAAATGTTGCTTAAAACAATGTTAATTTCCAGCAGAAGAAATATAAAACTGTTCTAGTGAGGCCTTTAACGGCTGATTAAGAAAGTAAAATCCAAAGTCCAAGCTTTCGCCGATTAACGGCAAGATTTTTCAACTTTTCTTTTCTTGGAGAGAGCATCTTTTTCTGACACATAAATGAAATAAGAAATTACAGAACCGCATGATGACTTAACCAATTTTTACCCATTTTGTCTCAATCAAGGATTCATCAGGACAAATCATTCCATTGTGAAGTATGTAATGTGTGTTTAGACAAACGACTCGAGGGAAATCACAAATGTCGACCTGATTCAGGTCATGATGAATGCTGTATTTGCTTGGAGGTGAGTTAAAAATTCATTCCTACCTTTTTAGCTTCTTTTTTTGGGGTGTCTTTTTAGGGGGTAAGGGTTCATTGCAACCCCTTTCTAACAAGAACGTAAGGTTTTTCTTATTTAATTATGAGAAAAGAGCCACATTTTGCGACGCTGCCACTGGTTTCTCGGCCAGATGACGTCTGGGGAACAAACGCAGAAATTCCATTCTGATGTCGCACCAATCTCGATTGGTCATGCCCGCGTGGGAATTGTGCTTCAACCAATCAGAAGTAGTATCCAGTTCTAGATAGTGTCACTTCATCAGTATGGAATTTCTACGCTCGTTTCTTAGACGTCGCGAAATGATGGCTGTTTTCTCAGTCTAATTGTGGGATAAAAGTTATTTAATGCTTGTTTGCACGTTTGACTTTGTTACAATTGTTTTTTTTACTGAAAGGATGCATTCAGTGGCTGCCAAATATTACCATGTTCACACAAAGTCCACAGAGAATGTGCCATCGCTATGATACAAAACGGCATGTAAGTCTTCACGTTTACTTACTTACTCACTTTTTGTTACAAATAAGTTAAGTGGCGGATAATCCTATATGTGTCTTGAAGCGCTAAAGCTGTTATCCTTTTAGGGTTTAGTCAAATGTCCTCAGATTATACCTGAATGCCTTTTCCTCTCTGTTTCTTTTTTCAGTCGTACCTGCCCGATATGTCGTCATCCTCTATACAGTCAGCCAAGGGAGTAAGTGTTCTGATACAAGATCACTCAGTTTACTGTTACTACTTACCTGTGCAAAGATATATCGAATAGTTTCTAGTAGTTTTTGCTTGTCATTCATGTTAAAAATGGCTCATATGGCTTATAAATTCAAAACCGATGATCTTTTTCTGATCGCCAACAAATCGGAGAAAAGCTTAGATGATAGAGCATTAATGTAAATGTAGCTCCCTCACTTGAAGATAATTTACCATTACTATATTCTGTAAGAGTTACTGAATCGTTATTGAAAACGTATTTTTTTTTTAAAATGTAGCCTTCAACATATTAGAGAAGCTCCACGCGTTCGCTTGCGCGCAAGCGTAGCCCCATATCTAAGAAAATGTGGTAATCTACCCATCCGAGAAATTTTGGTAATCATGTGACCGTACGCCCGCCCGTCCGCACCACAGGTATACCAATGTGAAATAACTCAATCATCAGGTATGACAACTCAAATACAACTCGAGGTTGTTTTAGCGGGAAATCGCATAACCACCCGCGTCTTGTGAAGCAGAGACAACTAAAGAGTCAATTAAGACGAAAACGGAAAGCGGGAATTGTTTCTGTATCCATGTTGTCTAAAGTATTAAGCTTATATTCGATCAGTTCTCATGTCCACGAATTTAGAATATGGAGAAAGAGAAAGACAGAGATAAAGAGAAAGTAGGCGATAGGCCATCGAAGCTCAATGAGAAAAACAGCGACAGAGAGCACAGTAGAGCAAGAGGTAAAAAACAAAGGAGACATTTTTTGTTGGAATAACAACATGAAAATTTGTAGCGGCGGTGAGGAAATGAGAAATGCTAGCGGCCACTAAGGTGAAAAAGAGCGGCAGTGAAAAAAAAGTGAGCAAGAAGACGTACGACATTTCCTCCACAAAGTTTCTGGATGTTTCCCGTTGTAGTCGTGCGAAAAAAAGGCAAAGAAATGTACAAAAAAAGTGTGCTGGACGTGCAAAGTTACTTTTTTGCTAATTAGACCTACTGTTGTTTTTTCACCGTTCACGTTGCCTTCGCCGCTTAGCATTACACGATTTTATATTTTGCTTGAGCAAACTAAACACGTTATCGAGAGCTTCGCATTTAGCCCTGGCTAAATCTATATATTAACATCGTAATTTTATTTTGAGCCTAATTTAAGTGTATTTTATTTATGTTTACTTAGAAAATATCTTGCTTTCTAACTTTTTAAGGATTATCAAGTTTTGTTTATTTGAAATCCCTGTTATTCAAGTATTAGTTAGGAGCGCATTTAGTCATATCCACATGCTAAAGTGCACTTTTTAAAAATTATTATATTATTAAAGTAGTATAATTTGCATTAAATTTTAAATTGATAACTTTTTTAGATACCTTATAAATTAATCGAAATCAAGGTACTTTAGTTACTTGGGATTACAGTTTTTTTTTCATAAACAAGTACCTCAATAGTGTAGCAGTAGTGGAAGGTGATTTCTAAATGGCCAACTGTTAGTTTAGTTTTTTTCCTACGTATAAGGCTGAATTTTAATTACTGGAATAGTTAACAAATAACAGACGTTAATAATACTAATTTCGTCAGACAGATTTTTCTCGAATTCGAAGGAGCTAAGTTGGCGAGTCTCCTTTTCCCTGGAGCTCATTAAGGGAAATTAATTGCTTTTTTATTCCTATATATCTACGTGGAGTTATGAAAACCGGGTTTGCCAACAATTTGTAATTTTTCTCAACTTCCCCTGTCTAATATCTTGCTTACTATATTGTTTGCTTATGTCGTTTTTTTTTTGCTTGTTTTGTGGTTAGGGATTTGTGTAGAATTGGCTGTAGAAAAAATTACTATTTTACCCCCCGCCCCCCTCCTCTTTATTTTTTTTGTCCCTACCCACAATTCTCTCTTTAACACAAGGGACAGTAATGAAATCAGTGTGCGCCTAAAGCTGGTCTGGCTTTTCTAAGGTGACTACTAAGTCTTTGGCCTTGGGAACAGGCTCTTAGCAGTCAAAGGAATTAGGTGAGCGCAAAATTGCAGGTGAACTTTGACCAGGGCCAAGACTTTTTCTGGAGTGAAAACGGGCTCTGTACTTAAATTTAGGTAATACCTTAGGCATTTTTGATAGACGTATATTTCAATTTGTGACACTATTAGGGAGTATCGCTTTCTTGATGGCTAAGTGAAATAAATTTAATTTCATTTTCCATTTTATCCAATCCCATGGGATAACAAAATAAACGTTAAAATAAATGGAATAGGCACTGAATGCTTTATTGATTTTAGAGGTTTTTCGCGGACAAAATAATTTGTTCTAGTGCTTCTTAGTCTGTCAATGAGACGAATTTGGTTTTTATTCTTTAATATTTATTCCTAGGCTAAATTTAACTTCATTGGACCACAGGTAGCCCAAGCTCGAATTATGAGCATCAACATTGTTGCGTAACATTCGAAGTACAACGGAAATATAAGGATTTGTATGGGAAAAAAACCTATCGTTTCTGTAACCTACGAAAATGAAGAGAATTCAATAAAAAAACAGCTTGCCTTACCTAAAATGTGTGTTGCGTCTCTCCTGTGTGGTCCACGGGCCGATTTATAGCCTTTTTATGGGTTTTATGAAAACGGTCTTCTCCCTGTACATAAGGCTTACCAAACCTTGGCCTTTAGAGAGATAATCGTTTTCATAAATAAAAACCCATAAAACGGCCATAAATCGGCCCGTGGACTACACAGGAGAGACGTAACACACATTTTGTGTAAGGTGTAATATAATTCATTATTGCTAGTAATTATTTTTTATTTTTATGATATTAATAGGTAAGTCTTTTGATAAACAGATGTTTTAGAATTTTATTTTGGCTAATATCCTAGCCTATTCTCAACAAAAAATTTAATTCATATCATAACGTAATAAATGTAATAGGGCTAAATTATTGTTGCATTAAAACGATAGCTTTTTGATAGACAAATATTTAGTCTCTCAGTGAGACAAATTTATATATTTTTTTTAATTCTAGCCTAAATTTCAAATTCACAGGACAACGAAACATACGATTAAGTGTTGAATTTTACTGACATTTTTTTTGTGCTTTATTTTATTGATATTTTTATTGCTAACAATAGTTTTATTTTTTGTTGTCATGATATTAATATATCATGCATTTCCAATGATGCTAGCTTGCCTTGTTACAGTGCAGTCCCCCAGTGAGACAAATTTAGGGTTAGTCTTTGCAGTTCTAGGCTAAATTTTCCAATTCAAAGGATAACGAAAATACGCTCAAAACGCTTTTCTCCAACTGTGGTGCTTTGCGTATGCTTCACGGGCGTGATCAGATCGCATTCTTTGCCTTTCATTCAGTTTGGTGTAATAGGCCATTTTCACGATGACGACATTTGACTACCAATACTAGAATTCATTTCGTTTTTGCCTTCTTATTGAAATTTGTCAATCCCGTTGAGGTTTAAACCACAATAACCCTAATTTGCACAAGAAAACAACAAACTGAAGAATTCCGGTAGTTGTAGTAAAATGACGTCATCATGCAATTGTCCTATTCCTAACGAATGCTGGCTAAAAACGTGCTGCGCAATAGATCTTGTCACGGTTTTCGACGCCATCTTGACAAGTAGGCAAACCCGTGAGAAATTACAGTGTTTGTATGAGAATCTAATGTCGAATACTTTCCGTAAAACGGCTGTTTTAAAAAATACATGAAATGTAAAGTAAAGCTTCACTCTTAAGGATTCTAGAAGACCTAGAACCTTTTTTTTGATTTTCTATACATTTGTCTGTAAAAATTTCCCTGGAAAAATTGCAGACAAATATATGGAAAATCTAAAGCAAGTTTCTGGAGCAATTTAAGCACAACAAATGCCCCCAAAATTTGTTGGTAAAATCCTTTGCTGTGTAGCTTTAGTTTACAGTTCTTATTTTTTCCAGAACAACCGTTTTACGGAAATTATTCGACATTGGATTCTCATACAAACACTGTAATTTCTCGCGCGTTTGCCTAGTCGTCAAGATGGCGTCGAAAACCGTGACAAGGTCTATTAAAGCTACCCGGAGATCAGGATTTTGGGCTCCTCTAGTCACCCGCAATGGTAAAAGGGCTAAATTTCAAAAGAACATATAATTTTATTTTTAGATTACTATTGTTTATCGATCGATATTAATTCATCAAGAATCTGTGGTAGAATTGACGAGTCTCGTTTTTGTAATGCCTCGCGGTGAGACGAATTTAGCGTAATTTTGATTCATTCCTAAACTTACCTTAATTCATAGAAAAGGAATAAATGATAGATAGTGTATTAGTAAGTTTCGTTTTTGTTTTTGCTTCTCAATAAACAAAAGATATTTGATTTCCTATTTAAGAACTTCATGTTATATTGATACAGCAAAACCCAAGTGAACAGTCCAGCATCATTTTAGTAGAGAAAGCCAAATTAATGCAAATCTCCTATAAGTTGCTTCAAGGAGCGCCTTAAAGTACCCGAATATTGCTTTGATTTTTTGCCCCCAAATTTGCTTGTATTTTGGAGAAAGTAAGTGTTGAAGAACATTTTTAGGGGAAACTAGCTGGGTTCTCACAACAAACAGATGATTCGTGTGTTCAACTGGCTCTTCATATTTCTTTACTAGACAACTGGTACGAAGTTAGCTGACATCAGAGACTCTTAAGCATGAAACCTTCGAGATTATTACTTTGTCAAAATGGTTTTTACATTTTTAAAAGTTTTCACTATTAAGAGTAAGTCAACTGGCCAATACAAAACAAGGGGAACAAGATAAAACAACTACAAGG